TCCATCTGGTGATGTCCAGATTCTTTTATGTATCCGTTTATGTGGGAAGCAAGTCGAGCTCATCAAGTCTATACTATTGGCGAAGTCAACGAGTCGCTCTCCATTTTTATTGCTATTTTCGTGTAAATTGTGTCCTCCTGTGGTTCTCCAATGAGTCAGTTGGTTTCTGATCTTCGAATTAAAATCCTCTAGTAGCAACTTCACGTAATTTGCAGGTAGTGAATCAAATAGCACTTCTAGTTGATTATAGAAGTTATTTTTAATCGCATCCTCTTTATTCTTCTGTCGGAGCATGAACATTGGTGAGCCAGATGTTAGAAAATTTTGTTTTTATGCGAATTGCGCACAGTCTTTTATTAATATGTCTGAAATTTGTTATTTGCGGTTTGAATTATGTAATTATGCAATAATTATGTTATTACAAAGAGATTTAACAAATATACTTTGCAAGAATGATTGGAGGTTCGAATTGAGACCTTTTGCTTTGTTTTGCTTGATTCGCTGTTTCTTTTCGCAAATTTCCGAGAACATGTAAGAGATGAACTTTTATTTTGTACTTTTATCGTAGAATCGCTGACCTTTTTAATACAAAATAAAACATGAATATAAAAAATGTAAAATATAAATTTTGTATATGTATCATAAATAGATACAATGGATTTGTGTGTGTACTTACGTTTTGGAAGAGAGGGAGGAGATAGTAAATTTACGTCTGTGCATGATTCATCTTTGCTTTCAGACGAAGATGCAACTTTTTTCGCTCTAATTTTTCTATAAGAACCTGGTTCTTTGCCGGTATCCAAGTCTGAGGTATAGATTACCTTTCTTGTTTTTTCGGTCTTTCGTAAGGACGCTGAAAATATTTTAAATTATAATAGCAAATATTATACTTATTATAATATTATACTTATAAATATTATAGCAAATATTATACTTATATTATAGCAAATATTATACTTATATTATATCAAATATTATACTTATATTATAGCAATTATTATAGCAAATATTATACAATACTTATTGTAATATTATAATAATAGCAAATATTACGAAAAAGAAGAAAAAAATTAAAACTTTTATTTATACTTATATACGATACTCGTCAAAAATCCGTTCAATTTTTAAAAAAGACTAATCAGAAGTTGACGTTTCTTCATTCTCAATCGCCAAATTCTATAATCTATCTTATAATGTGAAGGATATTTTGCATAATTCCTCACTCTGTAGCCATATTTTCGGTATTACTTGAATACTGTCAGAGAATTCCACGACAATAAATTGATTAAAGATTTTTTTGAAATTCTTAACAAATTTATTGTCTGTGCAGTATTATAAATACACACACACATACAAGATATCTATTCAAATATTTGCACAAGAAATCTATTTTTATATCTTGTGTATAGATTATGTATATGTGAGTGATCTCGGGAGATAAATAATTGACGTTCCGTGTTAAATGGATATTCCGAATTTATTTTATCTACAATTTGAACGTTCCGTTTATTGTATAAGTTTAGTATAATTTAAATCAAGTCACGATGTGTACTGTATATAGGCGCAAGATAGACTCTCTATATAGGCGCAAGATAGACTCTCTGAAGACGCGATATTTACTCTACGAAAGCGGGATGTAGAATGTCTTCTGGAAAACCAGGATTCAGTATGCATAATCCGAGTAGTTTTATGATAGGAAAATTCTAAGGTAATCGGACGAGTAATCGTTGCGTAAGGACAAGCCGTGTGCTTGCCATATGTTGATTAGCAATCTAAGGGATCGATGGCAGGCTGCGTGTACTTGCGCGTAACCCCGAACTTTGAAATAGTTATAAGTTTAGTCTGTGTAAATATTATTGTATTGAAAAATGGCACGTAAAATTTTCAGCGTGTAATTTCTTGCTTCTGACGTCATAATCCAACATAGTCACGGCGAGTACCAAGGAGCATTAAATTAATTTGCCTTAAACATCAAATTGATTTGTAATTTTATTTTCAATAAACAAAGCTTTTTTTACAATTTTTAATATTTTTATTTACAATTATATATTTCATTCCTCCATATTCTATGAAACCTTTATTAATGGCCAACGGAGCGTCGATTAATCGTCCATCGAGGCTTCGTGAACCTTCTATTAATGAACTACGGAGCGTCGATTAATCGTCCGAGGGTTTGTGAATCTTCTATTAATGATCCGCGGAACATCTATCAATCGTCTACCGAGGCTTCATGAGCCCTCTATTAATGATTCACGCAATGTTAGTTAAAGATGTCTAATAGAGGTCCATTTGAAGTATATATTTGATTTTTATTGTGGACGTTTATCATTTTTTTATCAGTTCATCAGTTTTCTTTCTAATAAAAGCTTGGGTAATTATATTAATAGACCTAAAATATAATAATTTATACAATTAATTTATATAATTATGTACAGTTTAAATGTATTTTATTTATAAATTAAATTATAAATAATTAAAAATGTGTATAAAAATATTAAATTGTAAATGTTTAAATGTACTTGAAAAATTAACTGAAAATTTTTTTTTACTTATAATTTTTTTAAATTTTCATTAATGTTAAAACTTAAATATTAATCTTAATAATATTAATTATCTACTTAAATATTATTTATTTATATGTAAAACTATTATCCATAATTATTGTCTAATAGACGTCTATAAGAAGATATTTATTATAGAGGTAGGATAAATGTTTGATGGACGTCTGTCTGATTTCCATCGTGGATGTAAACATCTCAAAGAGTTATGACGGTTTAATGGATCTCTAATAAATGTCTATCTAACTTCCACCATGGAGATAAATATTCTATGGAGTTATGATGGTTTAATAAACATTAACAGGATGCCAATTTCTATGTGGGTTTATTCCAAAATTTGGACAGCCAATGCGCATTTTATCAGATCATAGTTGTCAATTCACGTCTGCATTATGGAAAGCACGTTTAAATGATGAAAATATGAAAAAGTTTTATATAGATCGATTAGGCATACTCAATCTAATTCTACAGAATGGATGATGCGCGAATTGCATCGATTTTTTAGGACATTGCGGAAAAACAATACAAAATGGATTGAATTATCGTTCCAATAATCGAAAATTTATTAAATGTTACGATCTATCAGAGTACAGGTCTCATATCTTATGAATTGCACTTTAGTAAATCGGTTCAAGATGAAATCCTCAAATTTATTCAATTTCCGGAAAACGAAAAACCTTCGCACGAATATCTCATTACGATAGCTTAGAGAAAACTTAAAAACAAATTTCAAATATCGTAAAAAGCAATAAGAGAATATTTCGAAGGTTAAATTATTAATTGGAGATTTGGTTCTATTAAGGATAAGACATCTCTCCAATGCCTTTGATAAGGTAGTTGATAAATTTTTTCATCTTTTTGAAGATTCATATAAAATAATTCAGTATATTCATGAAAATGCGTTTTTATTAGTTGATCATCAAAATGAATAAAGGGAAATAGGCAATTATAATCGTCGCAATCTCCGAAAATATTACAGTGATAAAAATAATGTTCCAAAAAGTAAGAAAACATAATATTATGTATGTGTTTGGTTTTTCTCTAAACTATTTTTAAATTATTGTTAACGATGGTTCCAGTAAGTGTGTGTGTATATTTTTATTAGTAATATTGATGTATATATGTGTGAAAGGTATGAATGATACGTAGAATGATGTAATAACGAAAATAACTTCATAGGATTAGTTAAATTGTAATTAATGTTTGACGTATTGGTATGTGACATAGCCGTAAGCTAATTTGAATTAGTTATTGACGATTACTTTACACTCCACACATCATTAGTGTGTTGTATAAAAGGGGAAATATTGTAACAAGTGATAATCAAATTTGAACTGCCGCCATTAAAGGCAAAGTTTGTTTCCCTCAATTTGACGCATGCAAATGTTTAACTAATATAATGCGCATACCAATCTATAATGATCGAAGTGTGAGAGCCTCATCTCTGCTCATCTTCTTTTGTTCTGAGACCCTGGCACGGCAAATATCGAGAAATCGATGATTGCATTGATTTGTCCATTTGGAAGGAAGAAGGAAATAGAAGAAGTGAATACCCAGAAAGTGAGATCTGGCCAACTTCTTCATAATTTCCGCAGTCTTCTTCACAAAATATAGAAAGAATTCGTGGCCCCGGAATAGCTGAGAAAGCTAACGAGGGACATCTCGAAGAGTAAAAAGATAAGTCATTATTTCGAAAAGAGGTATAGCGAATTATTATATATATATTTTTTAATTAATTGTGTCTTGTGATTTTTTTGTAGTTTTATTTATAGAGATGAATAATATATCAATTATCGCAAAATGTTCGCACATTAAAAAAATGTTAAATGTGTGTCGAAAATGTGCATATAACTGTACTTATATTATTTTTTTTCGTTATTTTTGTAAGTTCTAAAATCAGAAAAGGAAAATGTTTCAACATACTTCTTTATATATATTTTTATTTTATTATACATAAGTAAAACTTTTTCAAGATTTTAAAAAATTAGGTCTAAATTAACGTAATCGATTTCGTCTTAGCTAAATATAACTCAATTTTATCTTTGATCATAATTATTATATTACTTTTAATAATAAATATTGTAAAAGTTTAATTTAAAATTAAAAATAAAATCATAATAATTTTTTAGAAGTGATCTGTGTATAGTGTTTTAATATGATATATTAAATCGCGAAAGATCTTTTATTTTAATTCAAAAGATAATTATGAATATTTTTCGTGAAGGACATTAATGAACATTTTTAGTTTTATTTAATTTTTAATTATTTTTATGTACAACATATATATTTTTTATGTATTTTGATATATTTTATATAATATATTTATGTAACATTTTATTATTTTTATTAACAAAAAATATTTTTGCATACAAATTGTTTTACATGATTTGTCAATATTTCATATATTACATTATATAGTTCACTTTCTATGTGCAATGTATACATATAATTAAAACTTAAAATTAATCAGGTTATATCCACGTTATTAAAAACGATATTTCTTCGAGACATATAGCCGCAATACCGCATAGTATTTCGAAAGATCCCATTGTTCTTATGTTGCCAATCAATTATTTAGAGCGATGTTTGCTAAAAAAGGAAAAATAATATTTCATTATAAAAACTCATTGTTTAATCCATTTTAAGGGGGGGGGTATGCTATTTAAAATTTTTTTTTGGCATTTTTTTTTTATTTTTTTAAATGAATGCGCAACATCTCAAGAATATTCAGTCAAAATTTCAAGTCGATCGGAGCAAAAGTAAAGAAGTTATGAACGCTTGAAGGACCGTTGTTCCGAGCCGTATTTCTCTACCCGCTCGACCGGTGTGCGGCGCGCTGACGTGGCACTCTATTGTATTCATTCCTAATCCCTAAATTCCTTTATTGCTGAAAGCATCTTTTCAGGTAGCCTTGTGAGCATTGAAAACATGGTATATACATCAGTTGCTCGCTGTATGTCGTGTTGAACGGTAGAAAGTGAGTCGAAAAATTTGACTGTTATCGTTCGAGTTCGTTGAATTTTCGGGCATTTTGAACTGTGTTTGTGTTTGAACTGTTACTGAGTGTATTTGTTATTATTAAAGATGCCTCGAAAAGTGACTAGAGATGATCGTAAATACGGCAAAAAGTATTTGAACCGAGCAAAAAAAATAATACCGCCACAAAAGCGTAAAAACGATGAAGTAACAGCTGGCAGCTCGTCGTCGAAAAAAATTAAAAATCGTCCCGCTATTGAAATAGAAGCTATAAAGTTCTGGAAGCCATGATGCCCATTTATGAGGACTTGAGCAGGGACGCACTGTTGCAGCGATGTCTTGGAGGTTTTACACAAAACAATAACGAAAGCCTCAATCAGCTAATATGGAAAATCTCTCCAAAGGCATACAGTGGAACCTCTACAACCGTACAAATTGCAGCTAATGTGGCTGCTTGCACTTTTAATGAAGGTTCTATTGCCCTGTTGGCCTTCATGGAAGAGATGCACATCGGTACAGGCCCTAGTTCTCATGAATGGGCGCGACAAGTTGACGATTTGCGAATTACTAGAGGAGGCGAGAAGGCGGCTCACGACAGTAAAGAAGGGAGAGTTTCGCGGAGACAAACACAAAAAGATGCTCTGGATCTTCTGGATGAAAGCGCCTTGCTGTATGGACCTGGTATCGACGATTCTGTGTGAGTATAAAAGAACTATCGACTTTTATTTCGGGATTTTTAGTGTGCAAAAGTTTAAAGTGTTTTTCTCGAACTTGCCTTTTCCGAAGTCCGTGATCACGATAACTCAAAATCTACTCGATCAATCGTTCTAAAACTTGGCACACTGCTTCGTAACAACATTTACCAGGTATTCCTGGGAGCTTTTTTTGATTTGTTAAAAATTGTTAATTTTACAAAAACAAATAACTCGATTTTTTGCACCAAAAATCAGAATTTTGGCTTCAAAGTGCCACTAAAAATTAAAAAATCAAAAAAAAAAAATTTCCCCCAGCGTTACCTCGAAAAACATTTCCTTTAACGAATGCATTTTTATTTTTTGGTTTCAGATGATTCTACTACGAGTTATGATGATCACCGCCAAACCACTTTTTTTAGGAGCGCCTTCGGAAATTCGTTGTCACTCGCGTATTTTTCGATATTTTTCGATGAAAATTTAGCAAGCTACTCTTCAAATGTTGTATTATTATATGGAAATTGAATAAATAAAGTAACATTATCTGTTTCGCCAAAAAAAATTCGTAAAAACATGCCTTTTTTCCATCGAAATTAGCATACCGCCCCCCTTAACAAATCCAAAATAAAAAGGTTAATAAGCATTAAATGCATATTTAACAAAGTATAAATTTATTGTAACTAATTTTTTAATCAGATTTTCGATATCGGAATAATCAATAGGTCACTTATAGATATGTGTAAATAATTTGTAAATTGTAAGAATTTGTAACAATTTGTAATTTTTTAAATTGTTAAGAGAAGAGTAATGCAGTTTCGTAAAATGTAACGCATTCAAATTATGACATGCAAATTACTTTTTATTTAAAATTTATTAATGTATTTTAAGGATAACAATTATTGTAATAAAATAAAGATCCGTTAAATAAAATCAATAAAAATTAGTTAAAAGGCTTCAAGGACCAATGGTGAAATGTATGCAAAAATAGAACGGTTATTTCAAATCAATAAACCATATGAACATGTTTATTTAATTTAAACACGACAAACGTTGCGTTTCAATCCAATTCGGATCCTTTTCAATGTCGAATAACAAAGTGACAGTAATAAACATAAAAATTAAAAGTCAGTGGTAAAATGTACATAAGTTTCGGAAAAACGCAAACCAAATTTTTTTGTCTTTCGTTCTGTCTTCTTTCCTGTTGTGACCTTTTGCTCTTCCCCCCTCTTTTGATGCTTCTCGTTACTCGTCTATACGTGTTGATATATTGGAACGTTAAGTTCTGCTTAACTTGTTCTCCCTTCGTAAGATTTTTTAATTTGAGATTATTTTCAATTTGGAGACCCATATGTAATTTTTATTAGATTTACTTTAGTGTTACATTGTACGAAAGATTTTCTTATTGTTAGTTTTAATTTCCGGATTGTTGTTAAAGTATATATTGCTCCACCTATTTTTTCTTTTATAGGCGATCACCTCAATTAGCCTTTTATTACACACATTAAGGACCATTAAGTTTCCAACTAGTTGGTTGGCATTGATTTATGCATCCTTGACTGCTTTTCTTTTTTAAATTGGAAATGAACGTGGACTTGCGTGTGAGATTTTCCTTCGGTTTTTGCTTTCGAGATAAGCAGCTTGTTCTTTGTTGACACTGAGGATATGAAGTGTGGGTTTGTATTCGGTTTTCTGTTGTGATACTTCGACTATTACCGTTAATGCGTTGCGTTCTCTTCTAATTGATTGTTTGAATCATCTGTTACGTATTTTCGCTTCCGACTTTTTTGATTTTGTAAGTATCATTAATTTGGTATGCATTTTTCCGAAACTTATGTACATTTTATTATTACATTTTACTATTGACTTTTAATTTTTATGTTTATTACTGTCACTTTGTTGTTCGACATTAAATAAACATTTTTATATGATTTATTAATTTGAAATAACCGTTCTATTTTTGCATACATTTCACCATTGTGTTGGTCCTTGAAATCTTTTAACTAATTTTTATTGACGTAATTAAAAATAGTATTTCTTCGTGGCCTCATTTCCTCATTTTCTTACTCCGATGCAGAAGATATGATTTAATTCCGTCACACATTAATAAGTAAAAAAATTAACATCACATTTTATAGTAGTCATAGCGTCAACCGTACTTTTGGAAAAACCACGAAGAAATATTGTTTTTAATAACGTCTTTTATTTTCTTTTATTATCTACTAGCGACTTCCAAAAATTTAATGTTAATTTTTATTGATTTTAAAGATAAGCAATAATAAAAAATTTTATTTTATGCTTTTAATAAATACATAATCTTAATTAAAAATATTGTATAATTCTACGTCTATTTAGTACAAATTGCCACGTTGAAATCAACCGAATAAGAAATCTCATTCCTTTACTTTAATATACTATTAATTAATAACTAATTACTTCTTGTTAATATACTATATTCTATATCCGTATACTATATTATAAAATCGTGAAGGAATGCTGTTGAGCATTTACACGCTAATGAATGTAGCAAAATGAACAATCTGACGAATCTTCTTCTCAAAGAAGAAATCTGTGATTGAAATACGAGAATTAAGGATGTTCTCTGGTTGTGTATGTGTCTGTGTGTGTGTGTGTGTGTGTGTGTGTGTGAGACATACATTTTAAAATTCTTGAATTCTTTCAAAAATCTTTGAAAATGTTATTATTTATATGCTAATCGAAATATTTCATTATACGCGATTCAGAAGACATATGATAGATATTACCCAAATAAATGATAAATGATAAATATGACGTACTTGAATGTAACGTAATGAACGATTACAGTAATTGACATATATGGAGCTATCTCAGCCGATCAACTTATCACGAACTGACTGGAAATGATACTGGCTGTCATAGTCCAAGTTGGATCAAATTATAAAGCGTACGCGTCACCATAAAACATGTGCGAGTAAGGAGGTGAGTTACGATGAAATGCGGAAATTACAATCTCTAAAAGTGAATCAGTGTATTATCATTGTAATCAGTACTGTACTTATAACTGCTTGTAATCAGTGAATATTTACTGTTTTTCAGTGATAATATACTGATTCACGTTAATGAAAGTAGTATATATATTACTTTTATCTCGACAAAAGGGCGAATACATGACTTCGCATATTATAATAATAAGAAAATATAATTGATCAGATAACCTTCCTTATTCATTACACACTATATATTATTGCGTATGTACTCTGTATTTAATAAAATTAACTTATAAAATAATTGTCAGTCATTTTTCGGTTAATAATTATAATTAATTATCTGACTGTGTAAGACATATAATATAAAATATATACATTTTATCAGATATATTAAACTAACGATTAATTTTTTAACTAGATTACACGTGAAGTTTTGTATGGATAAATGATATAAAGAAAAATAGCTCTTTGGAAATAAATTTTAATAAAAACAAATTTTTTAAGAATATAATGAAGTGTAATAAAGTATAGTTCATGTAGATTACATTGTTATTTGAATTTGTCAATCGAAGTATACATTCGATTGATTATTTTATTTATATTTCACAAACTAAACGATAGTTCATTTTTGACACTTTATTACTTTTGTTATATGCATGTACATGAGACTTCCTGATTGTCTTTTTAATTATTTTAAAGTATGTTAACTTTTGAATTGATAAGATTAAAACGTGTTATCAAGCGACGCGGTAGCGTCGCGACGCCAAGTACATAAAAAACTGATAAAAAATTGGATCCGAGCATTAAGAGTCATTTATTTATTCTCGATCGACGCGGCGCTACCAAGTAGCTTATCCGGAATTTTACGTTAGAATGACGCCACATAAACTTTTGATTGAAATATTTCAGAAACTAAAGCCTTTAGGAATTAAAAATGGCATTTTTCTCATATAAAGTAAATACAAACTTTCAATTATGAGTTTGAATAAAATCGGTGCAGTCAATCCCGAGAAATGATAATCGTATGTCAGAATTGTGACACTTTTCAGTTTCCATGATAAGGTTCAGACTCATAAACGTATCTTCGCACGCACACATTCAAAGCGATTTTGTTCCGCAAGCTGTGTTCCTCACATATATGATTATTTGCTTTAGTGTGTAAAAATGCTTTAAGAAACAAAACTATTATGTACATGTGTGCGCATACGTGTGATATGTGTATATGTGTGTGTATACGTGTGAGAGATTAATTTGTCGCATAACAATTTTCAAAAATTTCTTGCGGGTAAAATTTAATCTATCTCGAAAATGGTGTCACAAAAATATAAAAACTACCGTTAGATACTTCTAAGGAAACTAACTTATCGTAACAATTTACAAAGGTAAAAAATATACGCCAAGTACATAAAAAATATTCCACCTTGTATACAACAAAACGTTTAATTAAAAAATACCCTTATAATAAATAATTTATAAAAATTTATAAAAAATACCCTTATAATAAATAATTTATAAAAATTTTTCCTCAAAAAATATATATATATATAATTTTTCTAAAAGAATCAAAACTAAATATAAAATCAATAGGTAGCAAGAACACGTCATTTCGATGTTTCAAATTGGTCATTTATTGTCTATTCTTGACATCACAAATTGACATTTTTATGACGTAAAAGTGACGGTCTAATATCACAGATTCTTGACGTCATGATATGTACCGTATTTTGACGTCATAAAATGTACCATATTTTGACGTCTTTTTCTTAACATAATAATATATTTAATAGTGTTGTCGAATAAAGCACTCTCTAAAAGTGAATCAGTGTATTACTGTGTATTACACTGAAAAACAGTAAATAATCATTGATTACAGCAATTATAAATACAGTACTGTAAATCAGTGATATTTTCTTGAAAGAATCAATTAATAATTTCGACTGTTTCAATTAGTAATATCTCAGTAATATTTCTCAATATCAGTAATATTTCTTTCGTTATTGCCAGTAATTTTAAACTACAATTCATCTCTATCTATTTCAAAAATATAATATAAATATAATAAATATAAAAATAAATAATGTATATAAATATAAATAAATATATATAAAATTAAAAATTTTATTCATATTTATTAAGTATTTATTATATTTAAAAAATTTTATTTTATTTATATTATATGTAAATTGAACTTGTTATTTTAAATAGATAACGAACGAATAATTTTCATGAAATCGCCAGACATTTATTTGTCCGTCTTATAAGGTTGATTTAATATCTAAACCTCTATATTCTTTATTGAGATTGTCATCAGAAACTAAATCGAAGTAATATTTCTAATTTTATCTGTCACTCTTTGCAAACTTTATGTAATTTTTATGATTAAAATTAAATACGAGAGAGATAGCGATCATAGCGGTAAACGAACGAACTAGCGATTACTGATTTTACAGTGAAATTTACTGGTTTTACAGTGAATTTTACTTTAACTGACCATAATCAGTGAGATATAAGATAAAACAACAAAAAAATAAGCGTTTCCACTGAAGATCAGTAACATACTTACTGATTCTCAGTGAAATCTTATTTTACTGTTTAAATTAGTGATATCACAGTTTTCACTGATTCACTTTTAGAGAGCAAATTAATCGATTCGAGAGCATCATTGAACAATTACAGCCATTCTATTCTTCAGAGGATTGATTAAACTGCTTCATTCGAAAACGCTGGAAAACTCAAATGATGAAGAAACGCAACGATAAGAAAATACGTCACAAATTTTATATTTGTTATTATTATTTTATTTAAACGTAAATAAAAAAAACTTACACCTAATAACATATCATATAACATTTTAACAAATAATGTCTTTCATTGCCTGCGTTTTATACAAATATATTTTGTCAATCAATTGTATTATTTATTAAAAAATGTATATATTTTTTGGCACTTTAATTACACTCGATTGATATAAGTAGCTAATATTTTAACTATGCAACATGAATCATACACAGATAAACGCATGCGTCGAAAGAATTGTTAAAGTCTGATTACGAAAGTCATGTTATATTATATAAAAAATTTTAAAAGATTTTTTTATGGGATCGATGTATAATACTAATTAATGACATTAATAATAAAATAATCGTCACTTTATGACTGAAAAATGACATCAAAATAATGTATAAAATAAATCTTATATCAAGATGTCAATGATAAAGTCATGTAACAAATCAGTCATTTTGACATATGACCAAAAATGACCAGTTTGGAACGTCAAAATGACGCGTGCTTGCTACCTGGGTAATTAATTAGCAAGTACATTGAAGCAATTGATAGGGATTTGTAATTTGAAATGTTTGTCACAAATTCAATATTGCATTTATATATTAGATTCTCGACAAAATGAAAATGATTTTCAAAGTAAGTTCCAAGTAAATTTGGAACTAAAAAAATTAAGACCAAAACAACTTACAAAAACTTGGCGTGCTCGGGTCACATTATAACCCTAAAAAATTACCCTTTTAAAAAAAAGGTAAAAAATGGTGCTAAGTCCGCGTAAAAAACAGTATATGTATTTGCAAAATAGTGTATTATTAACTGTAAAAAACTACTGTATTGTATATAAAAAAAAATAATGATATCAAAAAAATTGCGCTAAGTGAAAATAAAAACTTATAAAAATACTTTAACCAAAAAAAGTTATACAAAATAGTTGTTTTAATTTTCTACATTATTTTCTACATTTCTAGAAAAATAATGATATCCAAAAATTACGCTAATTGAAAATAAAAACTTAAAATATTTTAACTAAAAAAAATTGTACAAAATAATTGTTTTAATTTCCTACAAATAATATTAAAAAGTTGCACTAACTGAATAAAAATTTTTACTATAAAATAGACATATATCTTTTTTATTTTCAATATTAAAAGAAAAATGATATTAAATAAATTGTAATATATCTATTATAAAAAATCGAATTGAAAATATGAACAATCATATACATTGCAATAATCATATGCATATCCTGAAAAGTTTAATTTAAAAAAAATAGAAAATGATAATACAAAATACAAAATTAAAATTATTTTTGCGTTTCACCTCTTATTTTTGCGTTTCACCTTGGATTACAGTTTGAATCTGTACGTTATCCGTAGCGAGCGACTATTATTCTTTGTCATCTGTTCTTGTATTATTATTTTAATTTAATTGCACTTGTAATATGAATATTATTTCCGCATTGAAAATGATCTGCATCTGATCGAAACGTTTGCGAATTTAACTTTTTGGACTTTAACTGTTTTTATGATAATTATTTGTCTTATTGATTTTTACTCTTTAATGTGTCTACTACTGTTTCTACCATCTGAATTTTGGACACATTAATGGGTTTTGATTATTTTGATTTATTTCTGTACTATTATTATTTTTGAATATTTTGCGATTTTGACATCTATACTGTGTGGTTTTTCTTTTTGCCTAATTTGTACTCTCAATCATTAGAATTTTTTTCTCATAACCACCAATTTTGACAAATTATTTGAATTAATATTACGCTGGCGAAAAATGCGTTCTGTCACATTTGGATTTTATGACTTTATTAAATCATGTTTCGGACCGGAAGCTAGAAACACTTTAAGAGAATGGTCGCGCTGTCATATTTCCACAATAAAGACAAGAGAAAAAATTAGATTTTTGAGAAACTGCAAAAAATTTAAGGTGCTTCCACCACACCTCAGATATCTTTTTAATCGTGGTATCAAATTGATTAATAACAGATCGATTCGTGCATATGATGATTTTAGATTCAAAACTGCCTTTCGTATTTTAAATATTAAAATTGCAGATGCGTTTAGAACTTTACATCGCGCTCGTCACAGGGAGTTGCAACTCTCTAGAATTGCCTTTGATTACATCCCGACACACATATTGGATAAATATTTTTTTAAACAAACATTATTTTTTCGAAACGTTTTTCGAATTGAGCGATTGAAGCTTGATGGTAAGCTTAGATTGATGATGGCCAGAAATCACAGATTTAGACCTGCATCTCGTTCCTTTTCTTACTTTTGCGATTTCCCTTCAAATGCTAGTTCTATAGATTATAAGAGAAAATTAAGATCTCATACCACTTCTCACAAGGATGCATTGTCGAAGATAGATTTTAATTTTTCCACCACTCATGTTCCCTTTTCTTCCTCGTTTAAAATTTTCATTAATTCTGCTAACACTAATTCTCCCTCCTTTGATTCTGGTCCTTCTTTCCTAAATTCTGTTAATAAAAAATGGTTTATTAATCTTTCTTCTTCGAGCATTCCTTCAGAAGTACAGTGCCTGTTACAATTGGGCGATAAATTCAGCTTACCAAACGGCAGAACTTCTTGTCGTTCTGTGTTTGAATTTATTAAATATGTAGAATGTGGTGTTAGGAGAATGGACTCTGAGGTCTCTCAACACATTAAAAATCATACGGTGAAATGTTTGGATAATTATATTAATGAATCGAGATGCTTGTCTGAGTTTGAATGCAAAGTATTGAGACTCAATAAAATTTGTAAATCCTTTTTGACGGATCATCCGGATTTGATTGTCACGAGAGCGGACAAGGGTAATGCTACTGTCGTTCTCGACAGAGATTCGTACATTGCTAAAATGAATGAGTTGTTAAGTGATTCAGACACTTATAAAATTGTGGATAGAGATCCCACCAAAAAAATATGTAATGAACTGAACGATATATTGAAAAGATGGAAACAGATGGATTATATTTCGGCTCTCAAGAAACGATCTTTGTTTTGTAGTGATGGTATATTACTTCGAGCTTACGGCCTTCCAAAAATCCACAAACCTAATTCTCCTTTAAGAATTATTGTGTCGTCCATCAATAGTCCGCTTCACAAGTTTGCTACTTTTTTACATAACTGCCTTCATGACAACCTTCCACACTGTGACAGCCATATTTCTAACAGTTATGAATTAGTTGATAAGATCAATAATCGTTATGTAGACGACCATCTGAAACTCATTTCACTCGACGTGGTCTCTTTATTCACTAATGTACCTACTGATCTTGTCATTGGAAGTGTCGGAAGGAGATGGCATTTAATTAAAAACAAAATTAAGATCCCTTTTTCTGAATTTATTATTGGACTTAGATTGGTTCTCAATTCTACTTTTTTCAGCTTCAATGATAGAATTTACAAACAGATTTTTGGAACACCGATGGGCTCACCTCTCTCTCCCATTTGTGCGGATCTCGTTCTCCAAGAGCTGGAAGAAAAGGCTATTTCACAACTTCCTTTTCACCTTCCTTTTTACTTCAGATATGTGGATGATATTGCCTTGGTTGCTCCTGCTTGTTTTTTGAATCTCATAAAGTCTGTTTTTAATTCTTTTCATGATAGGTTGAAATTCACCATGGAGATTGCAAATGATAATCGTCTCAATTTTCTAGACGTGACGATCATTATTAATAACAATCATATTGAGTTCGACTGGTATATGAAGCCCACCTTTTCTGGTAGGTTTCTCAATTTCTTTTCTCAACATCCGTTGGCGCATAAAAAGGGGGTAATTATTGGACTCACTGATAAAATTTTTAAACTGTCACATCCCAGATATCATGAGAAGAATTTTAACATCATCTCTGAGATCCTTTCCAATAATGGTTATCTGGGGAAATTTATTTTTAATACCATAACATGTAGAATCAAGTTTCTGATTCATAATCACTATGCTCCTCATGTCACTTCCTCCATCCTTCCCTCTCCTTCTTCAACTCAATCATTTTTTGTTATTCCTTACATTAAAGGAATTTCCGAACATTTTAAAGATATTGTTGGCAATCTTAATAAATCCTTGGCCCACGTGGTCTTGAACAAATTGAACTGCTTCATTAAAACGTATAAAGATCCTCTGCCAATGGATTGTCAATCAAATGTTGTATATAAAATTTCTTGTACGGATTGCTCGGCATCGTATGTGGGGCAGACGAGCAGAAAGATTTCTACTCGTGTCCGCGAGCATCGATCCAATATCAATCGACCTTTCGAAAATCTATCTGTCTTATCTCAGCATAGACTTATGGGACATGATTTCGCATGGAATGATGTTAAAATTTTGGATCAAGATATTTCATTTGTCAGAAGAACTATCTCTGAAATGATCCATATTATACGACAGAACAACGGTCTTAACGTTCAGAATGATACGGAAAAATTTGATAAAGTTTATCTTCCCATCATAAAATCCTTGCATTTTTAATACAATTTATTTCCAATTTATTTTTCTCCATCATCCGTTCCTGAAATTCCCTCCTTTTCCCCTCCACCCCTTCCCTTTCCCTTTCCATCGAATCGGCATGCTTGGCTCTTCATTATTACGCGTCTCAGTATCTTTCGTCACCTCGTTTAGTATACACGACTTTTGCATCTTTTCAGTAGTTTTGTTCTGCTCTTCTATCATTGCGATTACTCCGATATTTCGCAGTTACTTGTACGTAATTTACTCTAAAAATTTATTTGTCAAATTAATTTATTCTCTAACAATTTTTCTGGCTATCTTTGCATTTATTTTGCACTGCTTGTGTTTTGCGAGAATGCGTGTTGCTCTGCTTGCTTTATTTTTCAGATTGCAATTAATTTGGATTTGGAACAAAAAATTTTTAATGCATTATAAGGAACTTTGCAACGATATACGAATTGTGGAACGTATGCGGTATCTCTGTCCTCTACGCGCATACCATCTTTTTTCTTTCCACGCTTTTTCTACACAGCCACGATCTATGTGTTTCGCATTGGTGAGTAACATACAGGCTTGCGGACATTTACACAACCATTTATCGCTATTCGTTAGCGTTATTCTTTTACTTCTTAATTATAAATTTCGAGAACCAATATGTGTATATTCATGTCATATTTATGTAGTATTGATATCGACCACGAACTTTTATTTTTGCGTTTCACCTTGGATTACAGTTTGAATCTGTACGTTATCCGTAGCGAGCGACTATTATTCTTTGTCATCTGTTCTTGTATTATTATTTTAATTTAATTGCACTTGTAATATGAATATTATTTCCGCATTGAAAATGATCTGGATCCGATCGAAACGTTTGCGAATTTAACTTTTTGGACTTTAACTGTTTTTATGATAATTATTTGTCTTATTGATTTTTACTCTTTAATGTGTCTCTATTACACTACTGTTTCTACCATCTGAATTTTGGACATATTAATGGGTTTTGATTATTTTGATTTATTTCTGTACTATTATTATTTTTGAATATTTTGCGATTTTGACATCTATACTGTGTGGTTTTTCTTTTTGCCTAATTTGTACTCTCAATCATTACAAAATTAAAAATTATTAAAAAAATTAAAAATTAGAAATTAATAAATAAAAAATAAAGATTTATATAAAAATTAAAAATTAATACATATAAAAAAATTTTAGTTAAAAAACTTAGCGCTGCTAATTTCATTAGCACATTCAGCGCAGCAGCGCTAATTGTAAATGTCAATTACATATTTTTTCTTCGGAACAATTATGTGTTTTTTTTTACACCAATTGATTTCTCTCATTATTTTGTACATAAAAGTATTAAGGTAAGATAATCTCGAAAAATAAATATTTTACTTGTTAACAACTTTGTACGCTTGCACATTGGAGACTTGAGCGTTGACCAAGGAAACGTTTCTTAATGAAAATTTTTCATATTTCGACTTTGGATCATAATATTGCTGTTCACGATGCACATAGAGCAAAAATAAAGACACTTTTCTGATATAAATCAAGCTCAAGCTATCAATTAAGCCTAGTAAGAACTCGATCCGTTCAGCGATTATTTCAATATGATAATCTCGAATATCTCCAACTATCCGACTCGCGTAAATATACACGGAGTGTATATCTTATTGCTTACGCGAAACTTAGCACAAGACACTACCGTGTCTCTCGACATCGGTAAAGTCATTGTCAGAATGCACTACGACACATAAGTACACAAGCTTATCTCGTAGTAGTTGATGTAACATCTGCGATATTCAGCAATATATTTTTCTCTAGCAAGCCTACCATACCAAATATCGTACATTTTACATCAGCTGCTACAAGGTAAGCTTCTGTTCATATGTGTCACGGTATTTCAACAATGACAAAAAAAAATATATATATGTACACTTTTAAAATATATACATATATATATATATATATATATATATATATATATATATACTTTTTTATATAATAAAATGCAACAATTTTTTATAAATGTATATGGTAGATTTAAAAATATAATATTAAATATGTATTATTTAATATAATATTGTTTTTTAATGTCATACAGCGTATATAAAACATTCTTATTCATAATTAGATGTTTCAGATGGAGCAAAGTTAAACATGACATTTCGAAATCGATAAGATGAAAGCAAAGTTAAACATGACATTTCGAAATCGATAAGATGAAAACGCTTGCAAAAGGTTAATTAAAGGTTAATTTTTTTTAGTTGCAACAAGTTCTACAAGTTTTATGAATATGATTATTTCAATATTGTGAATATGATTATTTCTCTTCTCTGACATTGAATAAGTAATCATTAGTGTAATATTATTGACTATAAATCACTTTACCAAGAAAAACTTTATTTCTACCTACAAATTATTATCATATTAAACACTCTACATCTTATATTGAACCACATTAATCGGCTTTGCCAAGAAACTTCTAATTAAAAATTTTTTACAGAATAAATCAAAATTATACAGAGATGCTATATCTGTGGAAAAATAATAATAGCAATAAATACAAATGAATTGGAAGAAGAAATAAAATTAAGATAGGTTCAAGTCAGAAAACGCAATTGATTTAAACGATTTCAATTATAGCATATAATATGTTGTATTCTTATGTATATAAAAATATTTTGAGGTTACGTGAGAAATAACCAAAAATAATGTTTAAATAATTGGTCTATATCATAGACATAGTAAGTATAGACCGAGCATCCATTGTATAAGCGTTAAGCATACGAAAAGAAAGACAAAAGATGTAAGATGAGTTTCTTTCTCTTTTCAATGCCGGAGAAGTGGGGAGCACTTCTCCACATCTTCTCCTGCCGATTCGTCATGGAGGGGCGAGGAGATGAGGAGAAGTGCTCTCCACTTCTTCGGCATTAAAAAGAGAAAGAAACTCATCTTACATCTTTTGTCTTTCTTTCTTTATGCTTAACGCTTATACAATGGATGTATGCTCGGTCTATACTTACTATTATATGTCTATGGTCTAAATAAAGAAATTGATTAAAATAGAAATCACAGAAAATTTTTATTCAGTCTCCCTATAAAATAATGTAGTAGCAAATATAAGTGTTACATATAACAATTAATTACATGAAAATTTCACATTGCAAAAAGAGGAAGAAAAATAAAAAGTGACCACTGAAATAAAATTTCCTTAAATATATTATTTTTTTATATACATATTTTTTTCCAAAATAATCTGTAATTTCACATTAAATGACAAAAACATATTATATATTCAACATAAAATATTATATATTTCTGTCTTTTTTTCATTATATTTATAACAGTGTTTCTAACCTGTTTCCAATCGATAGTTTTAGTGTCAGTTTTTTTGCCACTTACATAACGTATCATCGATTAATAAGAGAAAGAAGACGTACCATAAAGAGTACGTTCAATATAAATTCCGCAATTTGCACTGAGGACAGTAGTTTTCGATTGTGCTGTGCTCACTTCATATCGGAAATAAGTGTCATCGCGGAACTCATCTATTGTGCTAGTTGGATAAATATTAATACTGTATGTATTGAATAATTTTATGTTTTAAGAAGTATTTGATTGATTGATTTGACAATATAAATATATATATAACACAGATTTCTACATATTATATCTAGACTGCTAACAAACAGCTATGACTCATACGAAATATAGAACATGACCATTTACAATTGGTCAAATTGTTATCAAATATCGCAGAATTCGATATGACATGTCACTTGATAAAATCAAATAAGATATAATATTAAAAACATGTACAATACATTTAAAACACTTTAAAGTAAAAATAAAGTAAGAAATAACATTTAAAAAACAGCAATTTCGATTATATTTAACATAATACAAATTATCTTGAAATTTTTTAAATCACATAAATAAATAAATTTCTCCTTCATCCTCCGTATATGAAATCAAATATCAAAAATAGAAAAGCAAATTCTCATTTATACTAATTATTTGAAATGTTTAAATAAAGAAAACATTTTGGCATAAATATTTTGCAAGTAAAATGAGAATGTGCATTAGACTAAACACTGTTCTAATAATATTTTAAAATTTTTATAAATGATAAAATTAAGACATAGAAAAAAAATAAAAGAGAAAGAATACAAACTAAAAATTTAAATTTCATTTATAATTATTTAGAAACAATAGAAAAAAGTAAAATAGTCATTATAATTAAAACTTATCAAGCGAACAATTGTTTTCTGTTTTATATCTATCTTAGTTTTATTCTTTGTAACAATTAGTTCAATAATTTATTATGAGCTTTAATTATAGTAATAATTTATTATGAGCTTTAATTATACTAATCAGTTTTTATATACAAACTTTTAGTTTAAACTCTTCTTCTATAAACAAAAATATCTAATATTTAAAAAATACTTTTATTAAAACTAAATTTCTTGTGTACACATAAACATGGATTTATTTATTTTATTACTTTTCAAATATTTCGTGATAAACACTTACATTCACTCACATTTTTAAAAATAAAACAATTAATATTAACAAATAATATTCTTAACGATCTTAAGATGCTCTCTATTTTAACAATAAGTGCAAAATTCATCGATGTTTAATATGTATTATTACATATTATATAACTTGCATAATTCTTTTCATTATAATCATATTTCTTTCTATGATTTAGTGAAATTTTCTCCTTTTATCTTTTCATTTCTTTTCTCCGAAACTCTCCGTGATCGATTTATTCGTTACCCTTCTCTGGCATTATAAATACATTTTTCTATGCAATTTCTAATAGTATAGTTTTTACATAATTGCACACAATACTATAACCAAACCGATGCACGAGATAGTAATTTAACATGGAAATAAATTGCACTAGTACGTATATAGTGAAATGATAGGTAGATGAAGCCAAACGAGACAGCAAAAGAAAAAAAAGAAAAAATTGGAAGTATAAAAAAATAACAATAAGTAACAATAAAACAATTCATCAGACATCACAGCAACATAAGATGCTTTTGACTATCTTCTGCATCTTTTTCCATAATATTCATTAATTAAAATTAATGAAATTTCTTTTGCAACTCTTCTTCCAATCAGAATAAAGAATTAGATAAAGAAGTTTTGCAATTTTTAAAGTACATTTAAATTAAACATAGATTGTTCAAAATCAAACGAAATATCCGACCGCCAATTAACGCGAATAATTATTCGCGCAGTAGATTTCGCGTGTAGTAGATAGCGCCCGCTCCGAGACCGCGCGGACCGCTTCGCTGTGAATTCGAATCTCAGCCGACTCGGAAAAATAACGAATACGAGCGACCGCTCACTTTCGAAAAGATTCTCTGTTTTTTTCGATTCAACTCAAAACTAATTTTTCATCGTTCGAGAATCTCCTCAAAGAACGGTATAAAACCACGCACCCGATGCCGTATCCATCACTTCAAATTTTCCGCCAGTCTAAAACCGCGCTGTACGAGAAACAACGAGTAATAGATTTTCGCTTTTTTCGATTTTAATAGTCCTCATCGCACTGAATCGACTATTCTCGGTATTTGCAAGGCAGTGGCCTGCTTGCATAGCATTTGTTCGCCGCTTTCCTTCTTTTGCAAATTACATTTTTTTTGTACTCTTTTGTGTGTGGAGCAAATATAGTCAAGTAATTCTTTGTCTTCTCTTCCACCTTTTGATTAAACTACCCGGATCACAGGTATATATTCGTACATAGATATAGCAACATTATAATTAATATTAACCTATCAATAGTCTATAATTGTAAAATAATATAAATATATTATTCTCTTTTCAACATATGAATATGTACATATACATTAAATTGATGCACGTATTTCTAATTGCAAAAATATCTATAATTCAATTTTTAATTCATTTCGTTTTACCTCATTAAATGAAAAAAAAATTCAGCGAGTCAGCAACATATTCAATGAGTCATGATTTTTAGTATAATTTTAAGTATAATCAGTCGAGAAGCGACTGCCACGAACAGTTAAAACGAACAGTTAAACAGTGCGTATGTATGGATGTAAATTAATATTAATTTTAACATAATTTTTTAATTCATATTAGTTGTATTGTTTTTAAAGTTATATGTTAAAAATAATTATCTTCATTAATATTAACATTTCGATAAAGAAAACGATGAAAATAATATATTCATAATTATTAAACATATGGATAACATATGTAATAATTTTAGATTGCGCCCCTTTAATTTTGTGAAGGACAATAAACACCACCATAAAGATGATTAAATTAGAAATGCCTTCATTTAAAGAAATATTAAAAGACACTGGAGGAAACGAACAACTTCTAGAAGAGCTACTGATTAAACTTCGACTATGGTTGAAGCAGCAAATTCATCTTCCTGAAGGTTTGCATTTTTAAATTTAAAGAAAAAAAAGTAAGATCTTATTAGTCAATTTATTACATATCATCTTCAAATCTAAAGAGCATATTTCGTAAATGTACTGATAAAAATATAATTAAAATATATATACACATAATTTATATAAAAGGAGAAATTATGCGCGAAGAATTAGTTGATCAGAAATCAAATATTAAATATTTAAGAAACAATATTTTCTCTCTTAGTTTATTATAATAAATATATATTATATGTTATGAATCGTCGCCTATCTCCTGAATAATAACCGACTAACAATTCAACATACAAGATTATTATAGAATATAAAATGGCAACTATTTTAAAATTAATATTAATATGCACATTTATATTTATGTTACAAATATATATTTTACTGTATGTAATATAAAAAAAATATTAATTTTTATTATATTTAGTATACGTATATAACTTTTGTGCGCATAATTTCCACAAAGTGGATTATTTTATTGCTTTTCCAAATCGCATAGCTACGTGTTTAATTATTAATAATTCACAAAATTAATATGTTACATATTTGTAATATATATTGACAAATATAATAGGATTCCAATCTATTTGTTTATATTTATTTATGATTTCTTTCATTCATGAAATCTTATGCATATCGTATGTAATAATCAACATTATACTTCACAGATATCTCTGAAAAACGATTGAAGTTCTACATTTACAGTGCAAAATTTAATTTAGAAAAAGTTAAGAAACGTTTGGATTTGCATTATACTCTTCGTAATCTAATTCCGGAGATTTTCACAACTCGTGACCCATTGGCCGACTGTGTGCTTAAAGTAAATACATATGCGTAAGTCTTTAAATAACACTTCGAAGTTGTCGGATTCTTGCATAATATATTAATATTTAAAAATTTTTTTAAATCATAAAAACATTTTATATCACTAGAAGTATTAATCGCAATTTTATATAATAGTATAATATAATGATATACACACAAGTATAACTATACGTAATTATTATACATAGTTAGTTTTTTGCTCAATCATTTAAGATCGATTATTTTTGATTCAAGAAAAAAAAGAAGAGAAAAAAAGAAAACTCATAGAGATATTGTTACAAATATTTCTTTATTTCTTTCAGACAATTTGTAACCCTACCAATATTAACACCAGAAAATTATAGAATCACTATGGTACGGTTGTTACATACCGACAGTTCTGTATTGGATATATATGATGCTATGAAGTACGTATATCTACAAGTTAAACGTAATATACATAATATGTGCAAACAAAACAGTATTATACGTGCACAGTACAACAAACAAACAATATTAATGCAACAGGAAATTTTTTAATTTTATAAAAAAATATTTTATATAAATACTTTTTTTATACCTATTTCTCTTGCTGTGTATGCGAGCATGAATATATTATATATTCTTATATTTTTTTTAATTTATGAATGATTGAATCTTATCATGCATTTCCACGATCGTACATAACTATGAAAGAATTTATGCGCAAGTCACGAGATGTTGTAAAAGCACACTCAAAAAACGCTATATTTAGGATAATATAATATAATATTGTTGCGCCCGCGGCGAGGACTTCGATTATTATCGAAGCCGCGCACGGAAAGATCGGCCGCTCGC